GTGATTTAATTTTTTTTGTGTTCAGTAGAGTATGTGAGTTTCGGTGTTCGCGACAAGGCTTAGAAAATTGTGTGGTATGTGACTGTTCGCGGATAAGTTTATGTGCAAACGGATTCGTGTATGTGTCGATGTAAGCGTACGCGATGTATGTTTGTGCGTGTAATCAGAGCTAAAAAAGGCTTATTTTTAATAAAAAATGTGTACGTGGTTTGGTTTTTGTATTAGTGTTTGCGCGAGTCTGTAAAATAAATTTTTTTGAATTTCACGAAAATTTTGAAAAATTTGAGAAAATGTGGTCGAAGTTTTGCAAAGTTATCTTAACTTTGAAAAAACTTTTGAGCCACATTTTCGCAAGCTTTTTCAAGTTATCTGAAATTTTTGACATGTCCGCCCAACGTTTAAAAAACTTGAAAAATTTTTTCTCGAATGTTTGACGGTGTCTCAAAGACAAAGTTATGAAAACTTGAACCGTAAATAAGTTTCGTCAACTTTTACAGCGTTTTGATACTTTTACAGCGAGTTAAAAATTGAGTGATTTGGCCAATGAAAAATTTGATGTGGAACGAATAGATTTATAGAATAACTGTCTGTAGTTAAACAACGACTTTTATAACAAGGCGCACTGAATTTGCAAAAGAAGAGCTTTAAAAAAAGGTTTGTTTACGTTTTTTACACTTTCACATGATGTAAAAAAAGTGCTAAATTATTTTGACTCGAGTAATAGTTTCTATCACAATCCTCTTTTTTTCAGAAACTAATGTACAGCAAATCCATTCGTATTTCGATTGAAAGTCATAAATGTTTGACATTTGTCTCAAAGTTTGATAAAAAAAAATGAAAAAGTACATACAATTGAATTATAATCATTCTCGAGCGAGCGACACTAATTTAAACGTAGTTACTATAAGTATAAGTTTATTCTGTTTTAAACGTTTAATATTGTGTTTAAATGTGTGTTATATTTATTTCTTTGAACTACTATTTTTTAATAACTTCTCTATCGGAAAAAAGCTCAGATTTATTAATAAAAAAACATACCGTTGCTATTTTCTTGCGTATTGTTAAAGGGTTGCCAATTAGCAAATTCTCCTAACACCATATTTACGCCACTATTAGTAACGTTTGACTGGTCCTCAACGGTAATGTTGAGATGACTGAACTGCTGCGCCAACGAAGTATCGTTCGAAGAAGAGTCTTCAGCCATATTGAAATTATTAATTTTCCAAATACTATTTAAAAAAATTGAACGTATGTAATGTCACTACTACAGCGTAACAGCAGTGCACCAAAAAGCTAGTAGATGTGTCTGTTACCACGCACGATTTCAAACTGAATGTACTCAAAACTTCATCAATAGTCTCTTTTCATTAGAAAGTGAAAGTGAGTTTTGAGAGTGGGGTAGACGCTGAAGATGATGAAATAAGATATCTATTTTTTAGAGGAATGACAAAGTGTATCCCCACCATTCTGTAAAGCTACAATTCTTTCTACTTGTCAGTTTCTTTGATTCTCAAAAGTATTGGATGGCAATAAGGCTGAATGGGCTAAGTCGATGACACCTTCCAATGAAATATCACATGTGACGCTGGGCGGACAGTTTTTACAATACATTTTTTATTATGGTTATATTTCTTAAAAAATATAATTCCTAACATGTGTTTTTCCTAAAAAAATTCCAAAAGTCAATTTTCCTAAAAATGCTGTGGAAAAAATTTATTCATAAATAGTACATAAAAATAATTTCAGTTTTTCTAACCGAAGAACCTAATCGTTAATTTTTTTACGCTTGTTTCTAATAATAATTGAATTGTTATAACTTTCATAAGAATAGTAAGTTGAAAAATTATCTCCATAAAATTGCACGCCACTTCGTAACAAAACTTTTTTTTACCCAATTTTTTGGCTAATTCTTCTGCTTTTTGTCCATACTCTCTTGCGTTTTCATCTCGGACACTCACAAATAATTTTTTTAAATACTTTTTCGATTTCTACATCTTTTTCTTTTTCTTTTCATACCTCGATTTATCGCAAAGAATTTTCATATCGCTGCTCGGTATAAATTCGCCATTTTAGAAATATAGGGGCTAGATAAAAATCGCGGCAGCGCATTTTAACGCTTACTCCTTGATATTTCTAGACTTTTCATACTTTTTATATATCCTGTACATAATTTTATGAAAAATATCATGAGGTGAATCACATGATATACATACTGGCTAAGCCATAGTTAGCGTGATGGTCAAAAAAAATTTTTTTCTTCAATTATGTACTTTTGAAGAGTACTTGAAAAGTAAAAATCCTGAAAGTTTCAGCCCTCTAGGTCCAATCCTATTGGATTTTCAGGGCCTTAAAGATGAATTTTCTTTTTCTGCTTATATTCTGCTTGCAATTGTGATTTTCTAGGGTTAATATGAAAAAATAGTTGAATTATGGTTTTTAAGGTGATGCCGAAGCCCCGATTTTGACCGACCGAGCTTTAAAAATTAGGGCTGTGCGAGTACCCCAGTTTGAGTCGAATCGGGAAAATTCAGGTACTCCAGTTTTTTCGGGTACTCGAATTTTTTCGAGTAATCGAGTTTTTTGAGTACTCGCAATATATTTAACTTTTAAGTATATAAATAATGAATTAACAGTCTGTAGATCCTCCTTTTGTGTGTACGTGCTTATAAGTGTGATGAAGTGCGGTACTATTAAATTATTTTCTTCTTCCAATCCAATCCGCTGCGAATATCACACTTATAAGCATGTACACACAAAGAGAGGTGATCTAGAGACTATTAATTTATCATTTATTTACTAAAAACTTGAATATATTGCAAGTACTCGAAAAACTCGATTATTCGAAGAAATTCGAGTACCCGAAAAGACTCGAGAACTCGAAAAAAAAACGAGTACCCGAAAAAACTCGAGTACTCGACTCGAACTCGAGGAAAAAACTCGAATTGGACGAGTCGAGTTTTTTCGACTACTCGCACAGCCCTATTATCCCTTTAACGCCTGAAATGACCATTTTTGGACAACATTTATAGCGATGAATTACATCGACTAGAAATTGTTTAAAAAACTTGTCAGACGTCATTTCTCACGTAAAATTTAATGTACTTTTCGAATCCGGGGTCAGAATTTTCAAAAATTTATTAAATAAAAAGTTATAAACAATTTTGTAAAAAAAAACATGAAATTTCGAGAAAAAAATCTTGTTTAACTCAAATTTCAACATGGAAAAAAGGTTCGCTCGTGCGTCTCACGCACATAAATTTGTTCAATGGCTTGTATACTTTATTTTAAAACAGTTATAATTACGAATTTCAAAATGGCCATCATAAATTTGACTCCTGAAGACCTGTACGTCATAAAATGATTTTGACAATTTTTAACTCGATAACCATCAACTTTACGAGAAAAAGTTGCAGAATAAAAAGTGTTTAGAATTGATCAAAAACATGCATGATTTTTTTCAGAATTTTTGGAGCGATTTTTGGATTTCTGGATAACACAATTTTTTCAAAAATCCAAAAATCGTTCCGAAAAATTCTGAAAAAAATCAGGCGTGTTCTTTGATCAATTCTAAACCCTTTTCGTTCTATAAATTTTTCTCATAAAGTTGATGGTTATCAAGTTAAAAATTCTTAAACGTTCTCAGCCAAAATCAAAAATGAAACCTATCGTAATATTTTTGAAAAAAATCGTGTTATCCAGAAATCCAAAAATCGCTCCAAAAAATTTGAAAAAAATCAGGCATGTTCTTTGATCAATTCTAAACACTTTTTATGCTACAACTTTTTCTCGTAAAAATGATGGTTATTAAGTTCAAAATTGTCGAAATCATTTTATGACATACAGGTCTTCGGGAGTCAAATTTATGATCGCCATTTTGAATTTCGTAATTATAACTATTTTTCCTTCCTTAAAAAAATGATTTGAAGTCGTTTTATTCGTCACCTCATTGGTCGAGGAGTAACTGCGCCTCGCTTCATGATTAGTCGGAATCTCGCGCCGGTTGTTCATATAATTATTTTAGTGGGAAAATTTAAAAGTGGTGTTTGCTTAAATGTTTATATTTGTGAGTCATTGGTAATTTTAATTTCAACTTGATTAGTTGGCGCGCGCGAGCGCGCTTCATATCACTAGTACAATAAAGTATACATGCCATTGACCAAATTTATGTGTCAGACGCACATGCGAACGTTCTTTCCGCGTTGAAATTGGAGTTAAACGAGATTTTTTTCTAGAAATTTCATGTTTTTTTTTACAAAATTGTTTATAACTTTTTATTAAAGGGTTAGAAGATCAATTTTCGGGAAAAATAATTGACCTGAGCTGGAATTTTAAGAGTCGTTCGGGTTTAACTAAGACGGTTCCCGCGCCTAACTAACTATTCAAGTAGAAGTTATAAAACATCGAAAAAAACGTAATTTTTCTCATGTCATTTGAAAAATCTCGATTTTTCCCTTGGTTACCTATGTTTCTTTGAAGTACTTAGAGCACGCGAGCCTCCTTAGAGAACAACAACGCTACGTTAATTCAGCCTCGCGGTAACGCAACACTTCACCCAATTCATAGTTCAAAATACTGCTGGAGCTAAAGTTTTCGTATAGTCAACGGGGACACTTTTTCTAACGTGATGAGTTTTTACTTCCTCCAAGCCTTTAAGACTGTAGTGTATGCATGACAGCGGGTCAGTATTCGTTTCGACTCCAAAGCGTGAACATCGTATCTATCGGGACTTTAGTGAAAGTCGTAGTTCAAAAACACTGCCAGAAACTAAAGTTTTTGTATAGTAGGCGTGGCCAATTAGCGCATGTTCAAATCGCCACTCTCTAATTAAGTTCTTTTCAATAGCCAGCTTCGGCTTTAGTGTATGCAAGAGAGCTCAGTGTACGTTTGAACTTCAACGCGTGCGGACCATTATCGAAAGATTGCATCCATCGCGACTTTTGTGAAATAAATTGAAAATATCTCAAGTTATAAGTGAAAGTGTTTAGCGAGTGCACAGAACGATGTCTTGTTCTTCAGTAAAAGAATTGTGCGATGTCAGCAATCGGTTTCTCATAGAACTATTCCATTGCCACGCGAAAGATGATATATATCCTGGAGAAGGAATCATCAACATGTTGTTCGAGGCCGGCTGCAGAGCCGAGCCTACGTTTGGTGAAGACGGTAGGGCAGTGCTGCAGCTCACGACTGCAATACATTCAATAGCAAGGCACCACGCGAATGATTCCGGGCAAAAGTGGAATAGGACCATCAAGGAACTATTTCGAGTTGTATACAACAGATACGACTTGAATTACGTCGACCAGAACGGCCTGTCGCATTTCCATGTGGCTTGCATGTTCGGCTGCGAGGCAGTGGTGATGAAATTTTTCGATGCCGGTCAACATCCCGATTGTCTACCTAGTGAACCAACCACGCGCTCACTCCAAGTCACTCCGCCGATACATTTAGCTCTGGAGTACGAGCACTACGAATTGGTGGAGTTGCTACTGTTAAACGGCGCCGATTCGAACGCTTTGGACAAAGTGGGCCATTCACCACTGTATTACGCCGTGATTAGATTGTTGCCGAATGTGGTCGATCTACTTCTGGATCGAGGGGCTGATCTAACGACCTTCGTTTTTCCTCTTCGATGTATATACAAGCGATTTTGTACAAGAATGAAGAAAAGTATGGTTACTTACAACTTAGCAGAAGTGTCTAGTGTTATAGTTATCCTTGAAAGCCTACAAGACCACGGCTACACGCTGACGCGAAGCGAGGCCTTAACTATCTTTCAATTTTTCAACAAGTTCAGATTTTTCCAGCAGTCGTGTGGAATCAAGGATCATCTCGAGAAGCAAAAGTTCGTGAGCATGGCCAAGCGAACGATGATAAATCCGAGTGTGTCGCTTTACCAACTGATCAAGCTGTCACAACATAAGCCCTCCAAACGAGTCACGTATCAAGATTACTTGGAGTTTGCGAACTCGGAGGAACATCGAAACATGTATAGCAGAAAGGATTGCGACGCCTACCTGTGCAAAATATTGGCGAAGAAGTTTTTCCGGCGATGGGCACCTTTTCCAGGCTTCAAGCAATTATTGCAAGTCTAGAAGAGCGAAGATTTATACAGTACCTTTGTAATGTCTTGTGTAAATAAATTTTGTAGATTACATTGGTATCATATCATTCAACTGAATAAAAAGTAAAATAAAAAATAACAGTATTGATTTTTCAATTAATTAACCCACATTCATTTAAAGTACAAGATATCAAGTTAAATATTCTTTACTATAAAACCTCATGAAAAACCAAAGTAATCTATGTTCAAAATTTGCATATTAAATTAAAAGTGCAAAATTAAGAACTTTTTTCAAGCGTCGCATAAATACTTGAAATAAAGATAATAAAAATTTTTGGTATTTTAAAACGAATAAATAACTTTGTGTCACACTAAACTAAAAATTTCAACTTTGCCGCTACTCTTGAGCTTTTGTGCTATATAATATATTTACGGAAATTGTGTAAATACGCTTTTGCTAAAAACTCGCATACATAAAGTTACATATCGTTACATAAAGTACTATTTTCTTTTAAAAAGAGTTATATCACCTGAAAAAAGATTAACGAACTAACTAATGAGTAATTAAACAAAATCATTGATTTCGAAAAAAAGTCTCCCATTATAGTCATGATGAATTACTTCCCGATGACTCGTAAAAATCACCTTTTTCTCTGTGTAGAGATGGATCAAATAACATTGAATAATCGATAGATCATAAATATAGAATAATCAATCAATTAGAACAATTAAAATCAATTAGACAACATCTAGTGAGGTTTCAATATGAAACATGCATAATATACATTGTATATTCCAATGCTGCGTTCACTGAAACAATTAAAAATGGGTTTAATAATGTAATATGAGCTTGATGTAACGCGTTCGAGTACAATAGGAGAAACCGCTTCTTAAATTCTTAGAAAAAGAGAAAAAAAAAAGATTCTGGTACATTTTAATAAATGCTGAGCCATGCGATGTACGTTAGCAAGTTAAATATTCATTACTATAAAACCTCATAAAAAACCAAAGTAATCTATGTTAAAAATTTACATATTAAATTTTTGTATTGCCTATGAGTTTGCAACCCAGAGTATAAGTTTAAAGATCCGGCCTTATAGAATTTTTCTGTTATTCCCAGAGCATTTAAATTTAATATTCTAAACTTCGCGCGAAAGCGTACTTACCGACCTACGATACAACGTACGCAGAGAGAGGTTGGTTTGATCGGTGGTGGAGCGTTGTTTCGACGAAGCCGGCAGAGAGGCGAAAATTCGCCGCGAGCTTCGACTTGATCGAAGAGCCGTATCGATGGATCGTCGCTGGGAATCGACATTGCGCAACAACAATCGAGATGCCCAGAGAGAACGGCAAATTTCTAATGACAATCGAAAACGAGCCGTTCGATCGAAGGAGGTACTCGCGCTCGATGAAAATCGGGAGAGAGTCGATGCGGAAGATCGCGATGCCAACCGAATTCGACGAAGTACACGATCGGTCGATCGACGCGAGACCAACGATATTCGCTACGTGACCGGCCGTCGCGCGAGTCCGAATCGAGAGCGCCGATCTCTGCTCTCGGAGCAACCTCAGCAAATTTATGAATAAACAAATCTTTGATCTAAAAGTAAAAACTTTAAATGTTAACGGAACCTAAAGTTAAAATTTCATATATATGGAAAAATATTGGGCTCGCTATTTTCGATATTTTTCTCACACTGACTGTTTAATAGATATAGTAAAAGTAGCTCGAACCTATAAACTTGCTATATACACATATGTAACCATTATAATGTAATAAAGGATATGAATTTCACTTATGACATTTCTTATTTATTCATTGCCATTCTTTGCAGATTGGAAAGCAAATGTTTTGGTTTAAAAATTATAGAGCTCATTCGGTGTAAAAGTTTCCCATAAAATTTTACTCGAAACCGTTCGAAAAAGTTCATCAAAACAAATTATTTATGTCATTATATAAACGTGTATACGTATATAAAATCGATAAAATGCTAATTCCCATTTTTGCTTCCGATTATCAAAGTAATTTTACCTCTGTTTTTCAATCGACTATTAATTTGAACGTTCGGTTAATTTTTTATAAATTTTTTATTTTTCCGTTATGATACTTATTTTTCTGTTGTAAAATTCAATTTGGCGATTAAAGAGAGATAAACATGCACATTCACTTCAAACTAAACTAAAAAGAAAGTAGTTGCTGCAATCGGGTTTTTTTAGTTCTTATGAAACCACGATAAAATTCTAGAGGTTCGGACGCTACCTGCAGCTTCAGTGCTGCCTCTGATGTTAAAATTTCTAAATCATAATGTAAACAAAATCATAGCCACATTGACATAGGCAGTTTTTTAGCTCCTCCAGCAGAAGAAGCAGTAAGCAGAATAATGTTGATTGCACATATGAAAATTCAAGTGATAAAAAATGTCACATGTGCATCTATGCACTATGATAGCATGGACCAGTGCAGATTAGGTATAGTTATCGTTGTAGTTTAGGGTACATTTTAAGGCACTTTAGGAGTTTTAGTTTGTTGTCATGTGCATTTACATTAAAAAAGTCGGAGTTTCATTGGTTTTAATAAAAGCAGTGATAACCCTTTTGTTTTAGTTTATATTAATGCTTAGTAGTGCCGTTTATTACAGTGAAGTGATATTATATGCAATAAAGCCGGTCATAATGCAAATGCGTACAGTACTAGGTAGACCAATCTACTACAGGATATATTCTCTATTGTTATATTATTCTCTTTTATCATAGAGAAAATATTTAAAATATCAAATCTCAAATGCAACTGCAATAGTTGAAACATTTGGACTTGATTACTTTTCCACATGCAGTACAAAGTGCATAAAAGCATGTGAAAATAGATGAAATTAGTAGAAAGTGAGTGATAATCATGTGAGGTCCTGCGATGATGGGTAGTATACGTTTATATACCCAGGTGAAAATAGTATGTCAGATCTGACTCCAGATCTGGCATCAGATCTGGTATAAGATCTGATAAATGTACGCCAGATCTGATACCAGATCTTGTATTCGATAATCGACATCAGAACTTATATCAGATCTGACATCAGATCTGATGTCAGATCTGAAGTGACTGTATTGCCTTTAATTAATTAAACAATAACTTTATTAATAATTAAAACTTTATAACAAATTTAGTTATATAATCACATAATAATCACATCGATAATACCTTTAAGAAAAATTCCTACAATATTTAGGTTTCTGATAATGTGAATTTAAATTGATTCAACAACTTTTATTATTAAGATTTATTATAAAATTTTAATTATTAATAAACTTATTGTTTAAATAATTGAAGGCATTACAGTCATTTCAGATCTGACATTAGATCTGATGTCAGATCTGATATAAGTTCTGATGTCGATTATCGAATACAAGATCTGGTATCAGATCTGATGTCAGATCTGGTGTATATTTGTCAGATCTTATACCAGATCTGATGCCAGATCTGGAGTCAGATCTTACATACTATTTTCACCTGGGTAATAGTTGAAATTCAATTTCTTTATTTGGTTGTGCTGATTAGTTAAATTTCTGACCATCTGCTCCAGTGTGCATCACTCAATAAGCTTTGAATATTGAGACGTCTGGTATGCATCGAATTCTTCAGAAAATGTCCTTAACAGATTGAGTTTTGTAGAATTTTGATTAAAATTATTTAAAACTATGTACATCATCAAATGTAATCTAATGCAAAAAATTCAAAAATTGATTGATGATATTAAGCTGAAATATAAGGGTCTACATCAAAATTTTACAAAACTCAATCCATAAAGAGCATTTTTCTGAAGACTTTTGTCTGTACCAGAGATCTCTATCATAAAAAATCGTATGTGAACTGTGCGCATGATGAAAAGATACTAGAATAGCATAAATGAGCTATTTTTATAGGTAGAGGCCTATTCTGCATATTTTTTTAAAAATTATAAGAGTTTAAAGATTTAAAACGTATGCAGCAATTGTATTTTCTCTCAAAAGTTCACTTTGTATCATAAAATTAGCATAAAGAGATATATTGTTATATAACTTCCCAAGGTTACCAATATTCAAGCTTTATAACGTTGATTTTCCAAAATGAAACTTTTTTTTCAAGATAATTCAGAATCTATCATCTACAGATATGATAGACTCTGGACAGAATTTGTATCATCTATAATATAATTTCAAGTCATACAATACATCCTTTTTTACTAATTAAAGCTACAAAAAGATATTAAAAATGTTTACTACTGGTTTGGCAAATTACCATGATTTTACACTTTAATTGTTGAATATTTCCTTAAAAAGCCTAATCACATGTAGTTTTTAATACAATGATCAAAAGATCATAACTTTATCTTTCTAATAAATGGTTTCATCTTTTTTTCGCAACAAAATTGAGCAAGTTATAGCCACTATTTCGCCCAAATTTTGATAACTTCCCATAAGTGCCTGTATTGAAAGATAGGGCTGTGCGAGTACCCGAGTTTTCGAGTTTTACTCAACTCGAACTCGACTCGCCGAGTTCACCCGATGAAATTTGCTGAAATTTGGTGCAGTTGTTCACAGCAACAGTACGGAGGGCTCCACAGAGCCGTTTTTCGAAAATCAGCCCGGAAAAAAAATTACGAAAATACACATTTTCTGTGCTCGGTCGGTAAAAATTGTGCCTTAGGCATCGTCCTTATGTAAAATTTGATGTAGCATTCAAATTTGTAATTACAAATCATATTTACAACCCACTCGTGCCGGCATAGCCGACACTCCTGTCTTTTTCCGCACACTCGTGCTCAAAAACGCCTTTTGAGCCCTTGTTGCATAAATAACTATTTTTACCATCATGGCTTAGCCCATATGCATATTACGTGATTCACCTCATGATATTTTCAATCACATAATATGTATATAGGGTGAGATATTGAATTATATAGCATTAGAAATATAAGTAAAGTAATATAATACAAATCTCGCTACTTTGACTCGATATTCCATTCACTAATAAATGCACCTCGTCAAAGGTTCTAAATAACGACTCATAGTATCCATTTAAAATTCAGGCACAGGAAAATAAAAAATTTGTTTTTTACAGCCATCTCACATTTATTCTCCGACTCATCTTTTAAAAATCAGGCAAGCTAACAGTTTTGAGCAAGCGACATTTTTGGTTTGTCTATTGCTAGGATTGGGCTACGACGCTTACGTCGTTAGTGGATACGCTTCGCGTGAAGTAAGCTTATGCGACAGACGAAACCACGTGTGCCCTTATTTGCCGCCATCAGAACTCAAAGTTACGGAAGAGGTTAATGTGGATAAAAGTAAATATCGACCTAAATCGCCACCAGACTTTAGTAGTAAATTTTTGAAAGCAATCGAAGACGATCGAATACGAAAAGAAGAAGAGGAAATCCATCGTAAAGAAGAGGAAAGACAACGAATGATTGTGGTATAATTTTTAACTATATATAATTTACGCTCTGTCTATTCGCACCTAAATCCACGTAAATACGTAGATATAAAAAGAAGAAAATTAGCCTAAAGGACACGTTTTTTTATTCGCCTCCCCCGTAAAGACACGTAAAAAAGCTCATATCCACGTATCTAATTAATATAAGAGCCATTGCGATTATAGATCGAATTGAACCCTCTTAGAGCCAACTTCATGTAAGTACAAGAAATATTTTAGTGTCATCTATATACGCCCTCTGTAGTTAATAATATCTTTCATATATTAAATTACACTAGAAATCTATGTGCGCGCTACGCACGCATGGAACTCTTATGCGTATGTAATTTAATATATGGAAATATTTTGAAAATAATAATCAAGATATTATTAACTATAGAGGGCGTATATAGATGACACTAAAATATTTCTTGTACTTACATGAAGTTGGCTTTAAGAGGGTTCAATTCGATCTATAATCGCAATGGCTCTTATATTAATTAGATACTCATAAGAGTTCCATGCGCGCGTAGCGCGCACATAGATGTCTAGTATAGAATAGAGAAAAAGCTTAAATCCACATAATACTTATGTGGCATTTCACGTCAACTCTCCCAGTGCCGCGCGGAGCGGCAGAATTAAGTCAAATCACTAAATTTGTGAATCGCTGTAAAAGTAATAAAATGCACCCAGAGAAAAAAAACAAACCCATGATTTCGATTGGAAATCGCCTCAGCTTTCCGATGGTGAGGTCAGATTTTCCGAAATTTTCCGCTTTACCCGGGAAAATCGCTGGGAAAACTTTAAAGTCGATTATCTCAAAAACTTCATTTTTAAGATTTTTTTAAAGTCTAAATCGAAAGATCAGGAAATTTTCAATCGATATAGACATTTTCCAGAGAGACGTTTTTTGATTTTAGCGAGATATAGCGAGAGAAAGAAGAAAAAACGTGGCTTTTTCGTGGTTTTTGCGTGCCCGGCCGCCTGCGCGCGCGAATATGCACGTAAGGATTATATCCACGTAGGACTAATATCCTCGTAAGCTTAGGCGCGGCCAAGACTACATTTACGTAGAAGTTATATCCACGTAATAGTATTATACACGTTAGTCTTATATCCAAGTAGGAATAATATACACGTATGCTTAGACCTGGCCAATACTTCATCCAAGTAGGATTCATATCTTCGGAGGACTCATATTTACGTAAGCCTGGATGCGGCAAGAACTATTTTTACGATACTAGTTGAGCTCGGGCCCTAAAATACGCCGTGCCAAAAAGTGTTACTTATGCCACTAGTATCGTAAAAACGTAAATGAGAAATTGAGCATAATAATACAAGAATAAAATCCCTTTAAATGCAAAGTATTTCGCTTCGAAACAAGACAAATGAGCATTACGTGAATATTATATTTTTTTCCAGGAGTAAGTAGTTATTTATGACTCGTGAATATAGTATCGGACTCTTTTATCCATAACTAAATATGAGCACCACATATACATATTTCAAGCCATGCATTAAAATACGTAAATATAAGCATCACGTTGATATATTACCAGTCCTTCTCATTCATACAAATACATAAGCATCGAATAATAAAAAAAAAATTTATAATCTATCTATAGATGTACGTATAACGTAATAGTACTTTAATAATTTTTACAAATAATCATTTTCGTAATATTTTTTTATTTTAACGGCTTATTTATACCGATTGTGGTTCATTATTTCATTTTTTTTTGTATGTTTTAAATTTGTATCTAGTGCACCTTCTCGGAGTTTGTATTTTTTCCAAAATCTTATTTTGGCTGTTACTATTTTTTGCATGCTCTAAATCTAAATTTTGGAATGATTCCTCAAGTTGTTCTACTTGTTCTGTCTCAGCTGCTGGAATACGTAAAGATACATGCAAGTTTCCTCGCCAAGCCCGTTCTATTGCGTCCAATATCTCCATCCTTTCTTTATATGTTTCTTCTCCGGTTTCAGTCACCAATGTTAATAATTTATCAATTATGGATTTAATCTTCTACCTTTTATAATTAATTGTTAATTTTTTCAGAGCCTCGAAGGTTTTTTATCGTAGTATTTTTTACTTTTTCATTGCTGTCATTCGTCTTTAGTCGATTTAAATTATCTGTTCGCTCCCATCGATCTGCGAAAAGATCTTTTGAAAATAAATTTTTATTTAATGAGCGTCTCAAATGTAGAATGTGATTGCACGGCAACAGCATGCTGCGATTAAATTTGCACCTGCTATTCGTCTCTGTTACAATTATTACTATGCTATTATGATTGATGCAAAATTGGTTATTTGTTTTAAAGATTGTCACGAAATCAATGAAGTTGAACTCTTTTTCAATTTTTTTATATGCAAAATCAGTCTAAATAGCTTTATATAAATTTTTTGCATCCAGATACTCTACATTTAAATCAGTAAAAACAGGATTTTTAATAATTTTTTCAACATCTTTATAGTTCATCTCGCAGTTGTCCATGTTATTTAAGTACTTCAAACTTAATCGTCTTTGATCCTTAGTTATTAATAACTTTTGCGTAGTCACTTCTCTGTTAAATGTTCTGATAGCATGGAATTTACAAAGAAATAAACGGCACTCAGGAAAAATTTCTTCAATAACCGATCGGTCAGTCATGTCCTTGTCAGTCATAAAACCATAGATTTTGTTTGTCGAGTCACTGGATAAGGTTTTTTTGAAACATTCTACTGCCCACTTTACAATTGGGCGCGTCCGCCGTCCAAAATTGCCACTCCAACAACTTTAGATCTTGCAGCACCATTTTCCACGGCAAATAAAAAAAGAGTGTAATTTCCTTTAAATATCTTGTAAGTACCATCCACGAAAACAATTTCTTCATATTCTTCCAAGTCTTTTACCACTTGTTCGTCTACAAAGTATAAGCCCTTGAAGTCTTGATCTTCATGAAGTATGAATACTTGTGCTCCTGTAGTGTAAATAATAGTTAGATCATAAACTTAAATAATACTATTTGTGATATGTGGATGTATACTGATAGAAAAATTAGACTACATACTGCTGAAATTCATATCTACTAAAACTTATTTTTTTTAATCAATTGGCATTTTTGTTGTTGGTAGTGTAGCTGACCTCTTCACTTATTGAGACCTGCTCCGCTTAGGTGGATGAGGGTACTTTCCTGAAGATTTTGAGACCCCATTGATTAATATTGATGAAAAACTCTTTTCAAGATCATGCGGCAAGTGATTTTTAACACAATATTTCGTCTTATGAAAAAAGTGATGTAATTGGTATTTCAGAGCTTGGGTAGAAGTTTCTTGGTCAATCTGGTATACAATGAACATATTTCACTATCACAAAAAAAATGCCCACTATTTCGATTTATATAACTATTTTTAGCTGAAGCTGAATTTAAGCTTCAGGTCGGTCCCCTTGAATCATTAAGCAGTACTGATTCGGCTAGCACTGTACCAGTAACAATCATTTATGACTAGATTTGGTTATTTAAACAAAGGGTAGTGCTCAATTTTGATAAAACCTTGTACGAAAGTTTATCGGTTATTTAATGAACGTCGCCCAGTCATTTATTGGAGGAGTGATTGTTCTCAAGATGACTCTTGAAATCATCATTTTTTCATATAAAGATGCTGAAATGATTTTTCAATATTTTTAATTGAATGAAAAATTAACTAGCAACGCAATGATCTGTAAAGTTTTCTTTTAATTGCAACCATTACATTTTCTTAGACATTGAAATGTTGAAAAACAACAATTTGGTCATCAAAGGGTCGGTTTATCCTATCATGCCATTTAGTTCAAATAATATTTGCAACGGGAGGAAAATTATGGAAAATTACTTAAGGGCTTATATACACCTTAAATTCAAAAATGTTTTTATTCAATTTTTGAATAGGATTTTTTTCTCCCCTTTCCATTGCATTTTTCGAAATTCCAAAATTTTGATTTTGCACTGAGATATAGCTGTTTCCGTGAGCTTTTTTCGTATATTTTACGTGTTAACATTTTTCTTCTTTTGCGTTTTCTGGCGAGTAGTGTTTTTGGTCACCTCACGTAACTTTTATTGAGTTTTCTGCACCGGGGTCGCGTACACTTCTTCAGAACATTAATGCTAACGGCCACTACTACGAGTGAGACGATTGAACTCATAGATCATTCTCAAAACGTACTTTTATGACTTAAATTTTGGCAAAAACAAAAAATGAAAAAAAATGTGTGTTTAACTGTTCATGCACAGCAATCTGAGGTCGTCTCAGCCGTAGTAGTGGCCGTGAGCATTGATGTTCTGAAGAAGTGTACGCGACCCTGGTGCAGAAAACTCAATCGGTATCCACTGAAAGTTACGTGAGGTGACCAAAAACACTACTCGCCAGAAAACGCAAAAGAAAAAAAATTTTAACACGTAAAGTATACGAAAAAAGCTCATGGAAACAGCTGTATCTCAGTGCAAAATCAAAATTTTTGAATTTCGAAAAATGCAATGGAAAGGGGAGAAAAAACCCTATTCAAAAATTGAATAGAATACCAAAGTTGCGCTCGCTCGGACGGACGCTCAGTTTTTACGGGTTTAAAAAATTTTCAAAAAATTTTGAATTTAAGGTGTGTATAAGCCCTTAATAGATCTTTGTTCAATCAATCTCTGACGACTCGTGGGTGTTTCTCTTCTTGAACTTCTTGATTTTTCCGCTGACGTGGTTTCCCAAGTCAGGACTATCTTGCTTCACGTTTTCTAAAAAAAATAGAAATCAATAAAATTAGTACTTTTTCAAAAAAATATTCATGGTTACTGTCATGAACTGTTCATTATAAAAAAAAATGTATCTGCACCATAATTGTAAATGTTCATGGGAAAATCATTTTATTTACATTTTTTCATAAGTAACATTTCTTCTTATTCAGGAGCTGGAAAGACCTAAGCCTGACCAGCTTTTTGGTCAACGAGTTCACGCATGGGTGCTAGTACTCCCTAATGAACAGAACACAAATATTAAGGAGCCAACTTTTATTGAAGCCTCGACTGGATCAATTCATAAAACAGTAGATCCTATGACAGCTAATTCGTACCTCGGTATCGAAAGTATCTGGAATGGATGCAATTATTGGGTTAACATGCAGGATTGCAGCGAGGCTTGCACAAAATTAAATTGGGATCTTAGTAATCCGAAGTACTGGGAGCATTTATTAGCTGGAGAACCCGCAAATATGAGAAATATTGATGACGACGACAATGAGGAAGAGAGTGAAGAAGCAAAAATACGTCGTGACTTCCACATGGTGATGCCTGCATCATATGTCGATCGCATTGAAATTCCGTACAAAAGTATAAATGCTTCGTTTTTAAAGCCAAATTTTAGTGTGTTTATTATTTAAATTTTGTTCATTAGATTACGAAGAACAGTATCCTTGTGGCCACAAAACAATTCTTTATAAAAAAGCTAAGGTTGAACTTTTCAGTCCGTATTCTCGGACCGATGGATTGATAGAATCTGTAACACTCTACGAAGATTATGATTATAAAACAGCAACAACTGTATATGAGAAATTTTCTAACCGAGAAGATCATCTCATAAAAACCGAAAAATACTTATTCAAGGATATTGTTGTCGATCATTATGAAATAGGTCGATCAGATAATTGCAAGCGTACGCCAGTTTTATTTTAATTTATTTGTCAAATTCAAAATGAATTATTAGGTGAGAATTTTTATTTTTCAATATCGACAATACAAAAAATGCATTGCAGGTCACCAATATGGATTGAACAGCCGATGTGTCGCCGATGAAGAAAGAATTCTCGAGTTTCACGACGGTAAAAGGCTTGACGAACTATTTCGTATACATATGCAACCTTTGTGTTTGACCCAAGAATACAAAAATCGTGAAGATCGATTACATCACCGGTAATTAGTTTTTTATACTCTTTTATAAACTTTTAATTGAATCTCATAAATATTTTTTTAGTTTTGCTGAATATAATCCATTCAACGATGGTAATGTTGATCAAGATGTAAATTATCGCTCGATATTGGTAAGATATGTATAATTTGTTCTGTTAATTTTTTATTAAAACAACATCGCTGAAACATTGTCTATTTTATCTTCGGGAATTTTAGAAAATTGTCGAAAAATTTGAAAGAAATGAAGAAATTTCAGATTTTCAAGATGTTTACATGAGAGAATTTGATTTTATTGAAAATGAAATTAGACTAACATACCACTACAGAGGTGGTCAATATACTCAAGCTACCCGAACATTTTTGAAGCCTCCAGTTTCCGAAAGAGGTGATCGCCTGGTATTCTTGCCTGAAATGACTCATGGCTACGACGTAAATATCGATTATTGATTATTATGCAACAATACATATCGCAAATTCTTAATGAAATCGAATGTCCAAAAAAAATTTTCTTTGCAAACATGAAAAACTTTTTTTGTGCCATAGAAATTCTCAAATTTTATCAAAATTGTGAGAACCATCTGTCACCCAGTTTCAGACGTCTAAAGTTGGAATTGTCCCGGAATTCATGCTTATTTCCAATATTTCGAAAATTTCTAGCTTTACCTAGAGCGATGAAAAAAAGGGCTAGAGCTTTTTCGCTAAAAAATAATTCCAAAATTTAGTAAAATTTAAGGACTTCTATGACATCACAAATAACGAGTTTTTCATGTTTGCAGAAAAAAATGTTTTTAACTAGTCGATTTCACCGAGAATCAGCCATATATATTCATATGTTTAGCCGGATCCAATGGCGCCTACTCTGAATTTTGACGATTTGATTATTGAGCTCGAAAAACAATTGCATGAAGAAGAGGTTTCGACGATAGAAGTACGTGGATGTGAGTCGGAAATACATCAATTTTTGCAAGTTCGATCTAAAGAGTACTCCAAACCTAAATTAAAAATTTCTAAATTCGATCCGATTCGAAATCAAAAGGCAAAACATGGGCTAGCAGCAAAGGTAATAGTTTATAAAAGCATGACTGACGAATTTGATTTAATGACATAATTTTAATACAGGAAGAAAAAATGTTGGCTCAAAGCATGCGTGAAGTTGAAAAAGATATCGATTTTTTGAGTCCTTACTTTGCACGACTAGGAAAAGTTGAACGCTTGTCCAAAAAAGAAGCTATGCAAATCAAAGAAAATTGCATTAACGATTTTAAGCAGATTTCAATTGATAGAGCTAATAGTATATTACGAGATTTTAAAAACTGTAATAAGGAATTAGAAAAATTACAAACTTTATTGACTCGGGTATGTACAAAACATATAATGGTCAAGATTTATTTTCGTATACTGTAATGATAATTTTTAACCGCATATTCAGCAATCTGTTCATTTGAATAAAGAGGATAAGGAACTTTTGTTTGAACAAGCGAATGAAATGAATAGAAAAATGATAGCTATGGAGGTAAGATTAAACCGACATCGGGAATTAGTTCCAAAAAGATACCGTAAACTCATAGAAACTCTCAACGATAGTATTCAGCTTTCTGATATTGTACGCGATCAATAAAATAAAACAAAAATTAAATTGAGGTTGTAAATAATGTAAAGTAAGAGACGAAATGATAATAAAAATTTTATTAAAACAAAAAGTATTAAGCTTTGTAACTTTATAGTGATTTACTTTGTCTGATTTCTTATGGCTTTGAAACATTTATTAGATTTTTAAAATATCAATTCTTTCTTTCAATCAGCAGAAAAATCTGAAAAACATTTGAAACGTACTTTTGTTTAGGATTTTTCCTGCTGAATCCAGTGGCATTATTCGTCTTACCCTGAGAAATTATTTTTATTTATAAAAAAAGAATTTTTGATTTTTAAAAATTTTAAAATATCACAAAATCCGGCTTCCATTATGGTAAACGACCGTAATCACTCAATTGTCAGAGATAAGCTTCTTTTAATACTTAACTAGGTCACTGCAGCAAGTTCAAGGAAAATTAATTTCACAATTGTGTAAGGAAACCCGAAGAAGACGAATAAGCTGGGACAGACGGACCTCTACTATAAAGGGTGGAGCAAAAGTTTGGAAACCCCAGGGAATCTCATTAAATCAGCTTACGAAAAAAATCAAAAGTCTCTTTTCAATTGTATTCTTCTCTACGGGTGCAGTTTTGTTACTATGTACCAAAAGCGCGTCAAGATCGGTGACATATGTGCGGACGAATATTCAAAAGTATTATGTTGACCCATATTCTTTTCGCGTGCTGCGCAATACTTTTTGTCGTTCGAATATTTTATTATCTATTCTTCTTGTTGCAATTTGGTGCAGACGCCACACTGTTATTTCAAATAGTGGATTGTCAACATTTTAACGAAGATAACAACTCCAAATCTGCATCAATGTTATAATAACTTAATTTTTCATGACCACTGATTACTTTACACTTCAATATTTCAAATAAATAAGAAACTTTTTAACAGTATATTTGAAAACGATGACAAATTTTAACTTTTAGACATAACGATGAAGACATCTACTCTTCTTTTAATGTTGTCATTGTATCTAATATCTAAAAATATGTTGTAAACATTGAATGAACATGATAATAATACAAGAACTAGAATAATTATTAAATTTAACAAATTCGTTCGTAAAAAAGATCGTCTTTATTTTTTGTTTTTGTTTCTTTAACAATTAGTGACGCATCGATAAAGATTTGTTATATGTACACTATATTGAGATTTTTATAAAAATGTTAGTGTTGGCTCTAAATTTTTAACAGTTATCAAGTTAAATGATGCAAGAGTTGAATGGTTTTCAGTAGAAGCAAATAGCTACTGAAACGACCACGAGCCCATTTGACCAATACAACGGCCTAAAATATAAGAAATGTTATTTAACTGAATTATCATCCAAAACTGCAAATATTTTTTATACCTTCATCATCAAATGTAGCAAGAGTTAATTTACTCAGTTTATTTGTAAAAGAACCGACATTAGCAAGGTTAGTCATGAAACTATTGTCTTGGGACCTGTTATTAGCATTGACATTATCTTCACTTGCTTCGATATGCCTGTTTTCTTCCGCAAAACCAGATATCAGTGTATCCATCATCATTGCCTAAGAGATAAAATAATTAAATTTATATAAAGTATTAAAAATGCGATGAAAGAAGAAAATAAAAAGACATTTACTTGTCTCGAGAATACTTGTAGTATTTTATATACACGTTCTCCATTTTCTCGAACAGGAAATTGAAGAAATAAACATGGCAAGCAATCTGGATTTCCTTCATCTGATGGTTTTGCCATTTCCCAATTCAACTCTGAATATCTTAATCCTAATAACAAGCTCTGAAAAGAATCACAATCATGATTATAATTTAGCATAATATCCTTTTTCAGGATGTTCTCATTGAGTTAAAATTAAAAAATGGAATCATTTTACTGCAAGGAGATAGTGTGATTTATACAAAGTTTTAAAAAATTTGATTCCAGAATTGAGTAATTTTAATAGGGTATCAAAGCCGGAGTATTAATTATATTTAACGTATATTTGAGATTTGGCCACTACTAGAATTTTATAGAGACTATCATTTTTCATCAGTTTCTCTTATACTTAAATCTTGAAATAAAATTTCAGGGAATTCCTATGAATCGTGTGAAACTATATTTTTTTAATGTACGGATAATATATCATTTTATTTTATGAAAATAAATTTTAGTTAAAGGTATTTTCAAGCCAAAAAATTATATTCAATAATTTAAAAATTGACTTCTTTACCAATTTTCTGTTTTCAGATTTAAAAATATTTGATTTTTTTGCTAAGACTCAGCTTACAACAAGTGAAAAAAATTGTAAAAAAATTTAAATTAGTCGAAATCGTATAAAACAACAATAACAAAAGATTGAATAAAACAGTTGCATCTCCGTGCAAAACCCTTTTAAACTTCAAAAAAATATTCAGTGAGGATAAGAAAAATTCTTAAAGTTTATACATTAATACTATTGCCATGATATCAGAATAAAAGCCCTTGCTATAAATTAAAGACTCTAAATTATACCGTGGCGTAAAGTTTTAAAAGCAATAAATAGTTTGGAGCTCATGATTATGAAAGAATTTGAAAACAGAAATTTCATACATGCAGTGCTACTTCTTAAATATTAACTTGGTTCTAATTAAGAATTATGAATCCTTACACATTGAGCATCATCGACAATATATACACCAACATTGTTGATTGCAACAAGCACATCCATATCTCTATTGATAATCCAGGAAGTGAGTCCTCTAACCGGTCTTTCAATTTGACCACGAAAAAAGGCGGCACCATAGCAAGGCAAATTCCAACAAAATTCCAAATATTTTCTAACGAATTTTCTCGGATTTGCATTTGCTGTCTGCACAGACATTGCTTGGGCGGGTATACGTTTGTAGTGCTCAAGTAATCGAGCCTCTGGTGAGCCCTTGCCACTAACTAGACCCAATCGGCCAAGCAGAGGAATGTCGAAATGATGCGGTAAAAACCGATCTCGATTCTTACGAAGAAAGTTCAATGTGTGAAAACCCGGGTTGTATACTCCAAGTTCAATTCGACATTGTAATGCTCCTAGATTAATGTATCTTGCTTGACTTTCGCATGGATACCTCCCTATAAAAATAAAACCAATAATGTTAAAATTAATTTTTTATGTAATAACTTAATTTTATGTATTGATGATTCGAACGCAGTTTTTCTTCGCGGATAACATGAAGAGTCTATGTATAATAACTCGGAAGTTATATTTTCGGTTGTTTCAAAAATTTCAAGAAATCTACATGAATATAAGGTATCCTTATAATTTCATTTAATTTTATAAGCCCTGGAATCTATTTTAAAAATATTCTCTAGTATTCTTAAACATCATTATAACTATAGGAAGTTTATGTTTACAAAACCTTGCTATATTCTAAAGGCCACCCCAAAGTGTGTTTATACACACACTTTGCGTACGCAATAAACTGCGAATAGACAGTATAAAATAATTTTTTAATTTATAAACCTGTGGAAAATAGTATTTTTTTGCATAGGGAATCCGCCAAACAAAATTGCAACAGATTTTAATTTTGGAAGTCAGATTCCTGCTTTCGCAACAATATTACTAAAAATACTTGAATTTGGACCTTCGTTATACTTAAGAATACTAAAAGTGATAATTTGCACCTTTGAGAACATTTTCCTTGGCTTCTGCGTAGAGCAGTTCAAGAATTTTGGGCTCCTTGATCTTTTCTTCTTCTCGCCTCGACAAAAATACGTTTCGTCGAAAATATAAGAGTGGCTCGCTGTCGTTGCCATTGGAGCGCACGTAACGGCAATACTTGTTGACCAATCGAGGCCATTTGGTCGCAAGCTCCAGTGGCTTATGCGTCGGCCGCAGTTGAATTTCGAGCTGGGCCGAAACTAGCCAAAGCGCAAAAACAGGCTGCTGCTGCTGCTGCTGCTGTTGAGCGTTGCAATTGAGACCAAAAGACGACGTCCTCGCGAGCGCCAATTCCGGATCGGATTGTATCAAGTTGACGATGTGTTGAGCCGTGGCGTTGCGCTTGACGTCCATCATCAAGCACAAGTCATTGGTCAAGTATACCGCGATGCTGACGAGACTCGCTGCTGCTGCTGCCGCAGCTGCCGTGCACGAAGTCGCTGGCGAGCCCGATCCCATCGATGCTGCTGTGTTCGCGCGCTCGATTTGTATATGATGAAGCGCATGATTGTGCTGCAGTTTCGGTGGAATTTGAATATTTTTTTCCAGCGACGATTGGCCTGAAAACAATTTTTAATTCATATTTTTATTGATTTTCAACACCCGTAAAATTTTATTCGACCTAAAAACCATGTTACTTGGTGTAAAAAATTATTAAATTGAAAAATCCAAATGAATTGGATTATTTATTTCACTAACTATCAATTACATAAACTAGGATTTGTTAACTGTTACATTTTCAATGCTTAAAATAAAATCTGAAAACAACAATCAAGATCTAAAAGAGACGTTGAATTCAAATCCAATAATTAAATTATGTCAGCTGATCCCCCATGATTCTTACTGTGTTGACTTTTCCAAGACACTTATTGCAATTCCGAATATTCGGAATATGTTTAAGCACAACAATCGCAAGAATATAAATTCGTCTCCTACCCTGTGAAGTGGACGATGTGTCGAGCTTGTAATCATTTTGCTGTTGCTGATGTTGCTGCTGCTGCTGCTGCTGCTGCTGCTGTTGCTGCTGTTGCTGTTGATAACGACACATGACTGGATTCCTTCTGATACAGTCTTGTTGCTGCTCCATCATTTGTCGTCACTCACTAACACTGCCTTTTCTCTTCACTCGATGCAACTTCGTCCTTATGTTCGAATGTAATCCCTATTTACGAGGACTACATAGGCAAGGCCAACAACAATAACAAGTCTCCGTCTTCTCCAGACATCATACACAAACCAATATGAATATGTACTTGAACAGGCCAGCCTCTCCCCAACTGCCACCTCGCAAGCTTTACATATATTTACAGGCTCGATGTTGCAAGCACGAGCTTGCGATTAATGACTCAACCCATCGACGCATTTGCTGGTGATTCCCGTCGAATGCGGACGGCAACCCTCCGATGAGTCTTTCACTCGAAAAGCATGTTGTTGCCGTTTCGCCCCTACGCGTCGAGCCGTAAACTTGCGGCCTGTAGCGAACGAGGTTACTCATAGAACCCTTGGAATCGCTCGATTGTCCATTAATTTTTGCCAACTTCCCTTCGACGAATTTCGAAAAAACGTCGGGTAATCACAAGCACGCACTTTCGACGACTCCGAAACTGGCAAAAGCACACACTCGCCTCTGTCCAACCTATACCCCTTTCGCGCTGACTCTGCGCCTGCATGTACACACCAACGGTTGTCTGCGTGTATATGCTGCTGCTGCTGCTGCTACTGCTCGAGAGCTGCATGTGAAACTATAGGGGTGTTTATTGATTTTTGCCATCTGACACTGCTGCAAGCGTGGCAAGCGAGAGAGCTTGCGCTGTATTATTGTATTATAAGACGCGAGATTTTCGCTTTCCTCCAGCAGCGTAAGTAACGCCGTTTATCATCTATAATAAGAATTTTTTGAGCGGGGACATTTAAATTAAATGAGTACAATCAGTTTTTTTTCTTCATAATTTTTTTGTATTGATAGCGGTGAAAATACATACAATATAAATGCTTTCATAAATCACCGTCATTATTGAATCATAATCTGTACAGAGTGTTGCATAATGCAGTTAATAGAAAATTATAGATAATTTATCTACCAAAACGGCTTTAAAATAAAGCTAAACTTCGAATTCTAGATGATTATAAATGGCTAAGTTTTATCAATTTCATTAATTAAAAATACATTTCAAGACTCAGATACATTAACTATTAATATTAATAATTTGTATCAAATGTCAATATTAATAATTAATATATTACATTCATTCTTTACCGATTAAGTTTTAAGTTAAAGACTACGTAAATTAAATTTATTAGATTAAGTCAGCAACGTTCATAGGCATTTCATCGATTTGAGTTGAATAATATTGTTCTATGTCTCTTAGAATTCTTATATCATCATTTTTAACAAAGTTGATAGAAACACCTTTACGGCCAAAACGTCCTGATCGACCGATTCTGTGGATGTACAACTCACGATTGTTTGGTAAATCGTAATTAATTACCAACGACACTTGCTGTACATCAATACCACGGGCCCAAACATCTGTGGTAATGAGAACTCTGCTTTGGCCAGCTCTAAACTCTTTCATTATGTTGTCACGTTCTTTCTGAGGCATGTCACCGTGCATAGAGCACACCGTGAAATTGGCTTCTCTCATTTTCTCTGTCAACCAATCGACCTTACGCTTTGTATTACAGAAAATTACAGCCTGTGTGATAGTTAATGTATCATAGAGGTCACACAGTGTGTCAAATTTCCATTCTTCACGTTCAACAGCAACGAAAAATTGTTTTATTCCTTCAAGTGTCAACTCATCACTAGAATTTAAGAACATCATAAATTATAATCAAGTCTAAATTAGGGTAAAAATTAAATTAATTTTGATAAAATATCCTTAAAATGCTTACCGTTTAACAAGAATTCTGATTGGATCAGTCATAAATTTGCTTGTCATTTCTAAAATTTCATGAGGTAGTGTGGCAGAAACCAAAACAACTTGAGTTGCTGGAGGTAGATACCGATACACATCATAAATTTGTTCTTTAAATCCTTTGTTGAGCATTTCATCAGATTCATCAAGAACTAGCATTTTGATTGCCCTGGTTCTCAAAACTCGTCTTTTAATCATATCTAAATAAAAAGAATACAATATTAAACTTCAAAAACTCAATTTATAATGATAACATAAAAATTTTACATTAAATTTAAGACAGTACAAAGATTTTTATAAATATTGAAACTAGTGTTTCTAACGGTTGTTTAATTTCATAAGATTTATTTTCAATGGATACTAAATGGATTATTTATCAAAAGTTATTCATCTTTTGTAATTAGTAAAACTGAATGTTACATAAAAATTTTAAACTAAAAAATAATCAATAATTGATCACTTACCAAAAACCCTTCCAGGGGTTCCAGATACAACATGTTGACCATAATCTAGCTTTCTAATGTCTTCACCTAGATTGGTACCACCAATGCATGCATGGCACTGTACATTCATAAAATCTCCAAGGGCTAGAATGACTTTTTGAATTTGAACAGCTAATTCTCTTGTGGGTGATAGTACCAAAACTTGTGTTTCACGTACTTGGGTATCTAATGTTTGTAAAATAGCTATGGAGAATGTGGCGGTTTTACCAGTACCCGACTGTGCTTGAGCTATCACATCTCTACCTTTCATGATAGGTTTGATGGAACGTTGCTGAATTGCTGAAGGCTTCTCAAAACCTGTATTAATGGAAGCAGAAAAACATTATTATTCATCGGAACGGCAATTTATTTTTACAACTCAAGCAAATTAGTTATTTTTTTCCAAAACACAAGCATTGAAATTTTAGGTTAAGCGGCAAAAGCTATTGATAGAACATGGTACTCACCATAAGCATAAATGCCTCTTATCAGTTCGTCACGAAGACCCATATTATCGAAGGTTGGAATAACTTCGACATCCTCGCTGGTTTCAAACTCGATGTTTGATAAATCATCGTTTGTAGCAGAAGGGCCAGGGCCGCCACCACGTCTTGAACGACTTTCCGCCATTTTAGCTATTGAGTTGTAGTGCTAGACGATGTAATCAACAGGAAAACCAAACTTCGACTGAACGGCACTCACAAAACAACGGGCCATGAGGTACAATTTGTATACAGAGTCAGACGCGCGCATGAACCTATTTCCAACCCGATACTAGCGCTACACGAGAGAGCAAAGAAACTTTGGACGCGCTACTGTAAACCTGTATGAAGCATAAATAGTTGAAATAACCAGTGAAATAGGAAAAAATGTAAATATATTCATGGAGAAATAATATAAAAAGAGTAAAGAAATGTTTAAAGGATGAAAGGAAAAAGAGAAAAAGTTAACCAACATAAACATAATTATTTTTAAAGAAAATAAAATAAATATTAATTAACTGTTAGAGATTATAAAATAAAGATTTCGTATAAGTTGCGAAGTAACATATGTAAAAGGACATAAAATGTCGATTAAAAATTGTGGACCCTTTTAAAGAAATATCCGAATAAATACCGTAAAAATCAAATTGCATAAAACGATCTTTCGAATAATTGAAATAGCCGAGATATCCTGTCTGAGAGGTCTAGTCCGGGCGCCAGCTATGGGTCGAGTATGCATTTTCAGGTCCTTAAGGTAACCAAAGCTTTTTATAGGTTTTTTGGTGTGCTGAATCGATTTAGCTTGGTTACCAAGCGTTAAAATTGGTATTTTAAAAGTTATTAACAAATTTATTGTTTATAACTAAAAAAATTTGTTTAAAAAAATCTGAAAAAATTCACACGTATTCTTTGACTAATTCTAAGACTATTTTGTTCTTTGCATTTTTTCGTTTTAGGCGTTCCTTACCGAGCTAGAAAATCGCAAAGTTATTTTTTTGTTCAGAAACCATTCATATTTTCAATCTTTGCGATTTTCTAACTTGTTAAGGAACGTCTAAAACGAAAAAATGCAAAGAACAAAATAGTCTTAGAATTAGTCAAAGAATACGTGTGAATTTTTTCAGATTTTTTTAAACAAATTTTTTTAGTTATAAACAATAAATTTGTTAATAACTTTTAAAATACCAATTTTAACGCTTGGTAACCAAGCTAAATCGATTCAGCACACCAAAAAACCTATAAAAAGCTTTGGTTACCTTATGGACCTGAAAATGTATACTCGACCCATAACTGGCGCCCGGACTAGTCAGAGATCGCTTATTTCGTGCGCAAATCCGCATCGGTTTACTGTACAACCATCCTCTGATATAGCTACTCCTTGATTCCCACTACCCGTATTTTCGCCAAGCAAACTTGGCTACGAGCACGCAGGCCGTGCAAAATTCATCGGAGCAAGCCTCTATATATACTCGTGCAGCAGAAATAGTAGATATATAGCATAGCACATTATAGCTTACTCCTACTGCTATTATCACAGGTGATGTCGTGACTCAGAGCTCAGACTTTCCACTGAACGGATTCTATAAGGCCTACGTTCAGTGACAAATAAATAACATATCTCGAACAATAATTGCCGCGATCGGTAATAAGGGCTTCGTTTGTCATCGATGTGCACTCGTGAGTGATTAGGCATTATTAAAACCAAGTGAATATCTTCGTCGACGTTGACGTCTGGTAAGCATATTTCAGATAGTAATCAGGTGTGCAGAGTATACACAGCACAGTGTGTATATAAGGTATCAGTCCCGTGTTGCATACATCTATACAACTGCGTGCAATTCTTCCATCTATTTGGGCCTCGCCAAGTGCTCATTGTTTTGACTTTTCGTCAAGATTTCAACTGTAATTTTGTAATTTACGTCATTCTAATTCAAAACACAAAAATATGTCTCGCTATTGACGGATGTGTGTTTGATTGAAGTTTTCATTGGGAGCTCGTGATTACGGACTTGCATCACTATATATTTACGTGTATGTGCTATGTGCTATCGCGCAAATAAGAATCTATGATAGAACTCGACACCGAGAGAGAGAGAGAGAGAGAATGAGAGGCTGACTATCTTGCTTGTATAATATCATTTATTTATTTCTCATTAGCAGCAAGTCCATAATACGGTATACCTATAATACGCAGAAGGTCGGGTCACCAAAGTAGAATGATTCAAATGCGATATGTTTCTAAGCGTGTCTTAAATATTAGACATTAACTTGTATTTTCATTTTACCAGGGGAATTCTTTCATCATGGCTATACCACCGTTGCTGAGTAGCACTCCACCACCTTTGGATAATTATGGTGAATCAGAAGACGATGAATTCGGTGATTTTACCGCTGCTGGTATCGATGGTAAGCGTTATTCGTTTAACTTTTCATCGAGATATTGTAATGACAGCTGTTTCTCATATGTATTTAATAATGATTCTATTTTTTTAGGTCTTTCATTGGCATCGGATTCTCCCTACAAAGTCCTAACTCCTGTACCTTCCGAGTGTAATACTCCAAAGATCCACAATGGCTTTACACCTGCTCTTGTGCCATCTTTGATAAAAGATGAAATTGTCAAAGCTGCAACCATGGACCAGATTTTGACAATTGAAAAGACAGATGACATAGTGAGACACATACATTTAGATGATAGAACAAATAGTGTTAGTGTTAAAAACAATGGTGATCCTGATAGTTTATCGCATGATAGCAATTTAGATTTACCCATCGACAATGGTGCGAATATTTCAAAAAGCAATAGTGATAGTCTCAGCTACTTACGAAATGAAATAAATGCTAAAAGATCAGATAACAATGAAATAGTTAGTAGTAACAATAGTAGTATAGATGATAGTGCTAAAACTGGATGTGAATTTGATGAATCTTTGAGCAATAATGGAAATATTGATGATGCAGAACCTTTAAGTTTGATTTTGGATGATCCTAATACAATTTCTGATATCCAGCAAAATCTTGATGATGATTTTTATGATTATGAAAATTTCAAAGATCCATTAGAATCAGATACTCCAGTAACAAATAAATCAATAAGTAATGTGCAAGAGCATTATAAAGAACCCAATGTACAAAGTAAAATATTTAAAAATCAAGATATACCTTTTGATAATCATTGTAATAACAGCAGTGCTGTTTCTTCATCCATCCAAGATAGCATAGAAGCAAAATTAGATACTAACTCTAATGATCTAAAAGTTATTGATGAAGATCAACCAACATTAGAATTGAATGGTTTGACTCAAGAAAAAAACCAAGATGAAACAAGTAATGATGAATTATTTAACAATTTTCAATTCAATGGTTTACTGAGAGAAACAGCTATTAATGAAGTGAATTTAAATTCTACAGAACGGAAACAAACTACATTCGAAAATTTAAATTTTAGTTTTAGCGATTCAGAAAATGTAGAAGAACCAAATTTAACTAGTACATATGTAAATATCTTACACAAAAATGATTACTTGGAAAATTTAGAAAGTGAAAGCATGGTAGATGATAGCATAAATAATTTACAACAATCAAAAAATGATTTTACTTATGAGACTGCTAATTCTGATGAAAATGTTCATTTGGATACCAGGATTAATAAATTCCCTATGAGCTATGATAGTTTTAATACTGAAAGCAGTACTAAAGATAACTTAGATCACAATGAAAAATTAAACTGTGATTTTTCTAATTTTCAAAATCAGCAGAACTGTACTGAAGAACCTACTTTGCACATTGTTTTGGCAGATGTGCAAGATGATAGTGCAAAATCAAATCAAGTTAGTGGCAAGTCATCAAGTAGTTCCATGCATAATTATTTCGATTTTGACTCATCACTGCCTGACTTTCAAAATGTTTCTACCGAAAATGATATTTTTGCAAACGACCCTAAAAATGATGACTGTTTTACTTCAAAAAATATTCCATCTACAGAAGTGAATGAAACATTGGGAGCATATAAAACTAATACTATTCACAATGAACAAGAGTTGACAGCTGTTAAAACCTCATCGCTTGATGTGGACGATGAATTTGGAGATTTTGCAGATTTTTCCAGTGCACCTGTAGAAAATGTTAATGAAAATATAGAATTTAGTGAAAATATTGTAGCAAAGCAAGAACAAACTGCCTTTAATGATGAGGAAGATGATTTTGCTGATTTTGCTGATTTTGAATCTTCAGCTCCAATAGTAGAGAAAGCACCTGCTAGCTTAAAAGAATCTATATGTCAAATAGATAATGAAAATGTAAGTGTTGTTTTTCATTTAATTTAAAGTAGAGAAAAATTCCATCCAATTTTATGTGTTTGAGACACTAGTAAAAATAATTTACGTTTATTTGGATATTCATTTAATTTTTATTCTTATTTGTAATCAAAAAAGTTTCAACTAACATTTGTTCAACTACAAAAAAATATTTTTTTATTTGTAAATTAATAAATTATAGTAGAATAATGATTTATAGAAAAATTTTTTTGTGATTGAATTAGAACATATTTCAAAAAATTTGAATGTTTTATTTATAATTATTTTTAAATATATTATATTATATACCTACTAATATATTTGAAAGTTCATTAAAATTACAAATTATTAATATTTTAAACTTGCAGGCTGCAAATAAAATAGAAGATATCATTATGAACATGTTTCCTACATGTCCTGAAAATTCTGCTGTCGATTTGCAATCATTAATATTAAAAAGTGATGAAGTGTGGAGAAGTTTAAAAAGTGTTGAGGAAACTCATGCTTTAACTTACCAATGGTCTAACAGCAGCAGTAATAATGCTCTTTTAAACTCATTAGGCATTGATTCTAGAAATATTGTAAGTGAAATTTACATTTATCATAAAATTTATTCTAAATAATTAACTACATTTAATAAAATGTAATTTATAGTTATTTGGACCACGATGGAATCCAAACATTCCTCGATTTGCTGCCAATTTAGGATTTTCACCTTTAGAACCAGTTAAAGCCTCTTCTATAGATGCACAGCCAACTGCATCTAGTAGTAAATCACAAAATATTCTTGATACCGAGGTACATACATAAGTATATATTTAAATTATTTTGTTATTTAATTTTTTTATATAAACAATTACATTGCTTATGTTCAACATTTTTTTCTAGTAAAATGCTAATTATTCTTACATGGTAATCTACTATTTTTTTTATACCAATTCACTTCATATTGTAGGATGTACCAGTTGCACAATTTGATTGGAATAGTGCTGGATTGGTGAATCCATTGGAAGGAAGTAAGTCCACAAAGCTTGTGAATTAATGTATGGTTGATTGTTACTTCTGATTTTTATTTTATCTTCTGCTACTTTTTTAACAGTACCTTTCAATTAACATTGTTCCTGTTGATATCTATTAACAATTATCATTTTTTTTGTGACCTTGGTTTGTTTCAAATTATGATCTACTTGCTTTTGTGAATTGTCTGAAGTGTACATTTAAACATAATTAACTATACAGGTGGTGGGTTATCAGCACTTCTACCACTGGATCTTTTATATCCATTTGATCCTTTATTAACTTCCCATTGTTCTGCACATTCTGAATCCTATCATCATCATTACCACCGCCATCATCATCATGCTGCTTCTGCAAGGAGTTCTGTTTATAACTGTAAGTAATAGCTAGTCAATATTGAAATTGTCTTATCACAAATGTATTATATAGTAGGTAGGGAAAAAACTTGGTATAAGTAGCAAAAATATATGTAGTAAAAATACTTTCAAGTTAGTTACTAGAGTAAAAATTTTTATTGTTGACATTTAATTTATCGAAATTTCAAAGTTATTTTGTGTAAAATTTGTAACAAAACCTCTTGGCAATTGTATGGATATTTAAAAATTTCTCCGTAATAAGATAAACTGAATAATTTTAAAATTTTAGTTTGAAAAATAATAGTCTTAAACTTTTGTTAAAAAGTTTTCCTGATTGCATGATCTCAATAAGGTAAAAAATTTTTATATCTAACATGAATAACAATGATAACAAACTGATTCTAATATGATTCTCTTATAACGAGTTACACAATTAAATTTATCATATAAAATCGAATTAAAAAAGAGGGTTCTTTGTTTCAAAAAAATTTTAAAAATATTATTTAAATATATTATTAAAAAATATGTTTTTATTAGATGTAGTAGATTCAAGTTCATCGCAACATCAAGCTCAACCAAATAAGATAAGTCGTCAATCGAGCAGTAGCAATCTACCTAAATCACAAAAATCACACCAATCTTCAAGAATTATTGAGCCTTTGCCAGGACCAAGTTCTAGTGACTGGAAAAAGGCAGATGCACATCCAAAAGTTAAAACTGAAATGCCAAAGGGTTCAAAACATTCTCATAGCAGTAGGACACATTTACATGGAAGTAGCACAATTAAAAATGATTCTTTAAGATTAGAAAGTAGTGCAACTGAAGTTCATAGACCTGAACAGCACATTAGGAAATCATCTATAAATAAAAAAGAACAATTAACAGTTCAAGAAAATGTGGTTCTTGATAAATATGGAAAACCAATGACTGTTAGACCAGAAACAATGAAAGTTCTCAATCAATTACCGGACCTTTCCTTTTTAAGTGCTAGAACATTACTTTACAATCCTGATCAAAAGCAAATTCATATGGATTTGGGTGCTGTAATAAATCGAAAAATGCCTGGCTGAGTAACATTGGTCTGAATGCAAGTTTAAAAAAGTAAAATATGATCATAACTATCTTGACAAAATTAGACTCAAAAAGAATCTATTACCTTTTTTAGTATATAGAAAAATATTTTATGTTTTAAATAATTTCAAGATCGTTTTTAGAACTGAGTCTACTTTTGTGAATTTAGTTTTAATGATTATAAAAAAACTTGTTTTCAGACCTATTAAAAAATTTTTCAAATTATAATTCTGCAAATTTAGTAAAAGTTTCTACTTGCATTAAATCTTGCAATTATTCTAAACATTCCTTCCCAATCGATCTCGTGATTTTAAGCGCGATCGAAAAAACATTGATAGAGTTCAAAAAATTCGAGATGCAACTTGTAATGTGCGATTGATAACCATTGTAAATACTTTTATTTCGTCGACTAAAACTATAAGATTTTATACCCTGTACTTAAAAGTGGTAATATAATACTAAGTACGATCTTTAAAACTAAAAAAAACAACTATTGATACAGTTGTTGGAAGAGAAAATAATTTTTTATTAAGTTTAATAAAGAGCTGTACAAGATATAGTTAATAATGGTTTCCAAACTTGTATATTTTAAGAAAAAGATTATTTTACAAGAGTATACTGGTTTAATAGTGTAACATTATTTGTTTATCAAGCAAGATACAAAACTATGTTTATGTAAGTTCAAGTGTTAGGTTTTCTTACTTCTAGTCTACTAGACCTTTGAGAAATATTTTTGTTTTAATGATACAGACCAATTTATGTAAAATTATAACTACTGTTGATTTATATGTGAAAAATTGTGAAATGACAAGTTGTATATTGTCAAAATTATTTTAATGTTGTGAAGTTTTAATATTGTGCATAAAAACATTTTTGGTTATTTCTTATAAATTTAAGTTTGATTAATAATAATTTGAAAAAAAAAATTTTTAAATAATTGATTTCAACTAATGTGGAGATGGCAGTTACTATTAAAATTGTATAGAAATTTAAGCAAAAAGTTGCTGAGATTGTTAATATTCTTTGACAAGTGAATACTAAATTACTCTAAATTATCTAAATAAGTACCTTGAAGGAATGCCACAGTGACTTATTGAAAAATTATTATTTAGACAAAACTACGTATTAAAAATGTGTTCATTTTAATTCTTTTATCAATGCATTGTAATGGCATACTTACTTTACAATAAAAAAATTCATACTGAAAATCATTTATTCCTACATAAGCTGAAATATGATAGGAATAAATGATAATGAAATTACTTCATTTACACATGTTAATATGTACAGTATTTATCGTTTTTTAATTAGTCACTCACGCGTGTACCATGGTGAAAGAGTATATTTGATGAAAACTAAAAATGTAATGTACTTAAAGCTATATAATCAATATACATGTATGGTTATCAAGCTTATACAGCGTTAATCAAGAAATACTGAATAAATGTGTTGAGTTAAACATTCATTTAAATTAATATGATTATATTGTAATATATATTTTGTGTAAAATATTGTGGAAATTATAAATATTATAAAGTAAAAATGTTTAAAATTATGAATGAAAAATATATTAATGCTGCTTAAAAAAATATTTCATTTCATTTCTGATTGTGCCCTTTTTAAATTATTAAATATTAAATATTAATGAAATTTTCACATCGGTAACATTTATTTGAAGTTAAAACTAAGAACGATTGATTTGATTCACATTTAAATTTTGTGCAAAAATCTCTAGAATAATCGTCTCCTGTGATTTGTGTACAAGAAGCGCAGTTGACCACTGTAAATTCAAGAAAATACAATCGAGCTGTAATGACTAAACGCTATTGGCCGTATCATTACGAGGACAGCCAATCCATTGCGTCGATTCCGCTTTGTGTTGCATACTTGCCATATGTTTTTAGTGCGCGCGTAATGTTTTGGATGTTGACGCTCGCTCGCGCTAAAAACGCACCTCCACAAACAACTGCTATACTGTACTGAAAACTTGCGCGAAAAAATGTTTGGCGGCATGTTACATGTCGTATCCTGTTATTAAGTGTGGGGCTTCGTGTCAAATACTTTTATCAGTGAATACAGAGTTCGAGGTTCGTTATCTAGTTCTGTGCTAAATGTGCTCGAAATATCAAATCAATTCAGTTTATGAGAAGTAGGTATGGTTCATAATTAAGTTTTTATTTTTAGGTTAAGCAAAAATTTGAGTTTGACGCTTGAATTGGACAACTTCTTTCAATTATTTTATTGTGTACTCTTTTGAATCAGTGCACGTACCAAAAATAAATGACAATATGTTAACTTACGTCGCTCAAGAAGCTTAAAATAAAATTTTGCTAATTGAAGAAATAAAAGATTGATACTCGAATCTTTTTTTCAGGTCAAAATGAATCGCGCTTTGAGAAGCCGTAAAAATACTTCCGAAAATGTTGCGCAATCCAGAGCAACAAAAGCTGTTCCGAAGACTGTTGTTGGTAAAACAATAAAAAACAGTGCCACAAAACCAGCTGCTAAAAAAAGTAAGAGTCAAAATGAAAATAATGTACCTTCCACTAAATCCAAATCTGCTAAAAATTTTCCAAACAAAGTTGCAGAAAAGAAAAAAAATTCTTCCAATGAAAGTTCTGTATCAAGTATCAAATCTCCAGTACTCAGAGATAGAACTAATACTACAAATGAACTTTCTAAAGTAGACGTGTCATCTCAGAAAAGTGAAACAACTGATTTAACAGATGCCAAAAAAACAATTACTACTCGTTCATTAAGAAAGTTAGAAAAAGACAAAGACCTCAAAAGTAATGGTGGAATAAAAAAATCAACTACAGCTAAGAAATTGTCGGTTCATAAAAATAAAATAGCCAATGCATCTGAAAGCAATAGCGAATGTACTTCAGGGTCAACAAAAGAAATTGTTCAAACTCGCACTAGAAATTTGGTTAAAAATAACAATGCCCCAGCTGATTCTGAAAAAAATTCATCTCCATCTAAATCAAAAACATCTGTTCCAACTGCCTCTAAAAATTCCATTCAAAGTTCAGGTGAAGTGACTAATTCTATTAAAGAATCATCTCCAGTAAAATCAGAAAAAGTACATCAAACTCGCACTAGAAGTTCAACAAGAAGTTCAGATACAGGTTCCATATCTAAAAAAGAACCTTCTTCATTAGAAAAAGAAAAAGGAGCTGCTACTGAGATTGAGAGTTCTATTATAAGAAAAATGGAGACTCGTACAAGAAGTTCTACAAGGAGTAAAAATCAATCGTCAAATTCTGAAAAAGAGTCTTCTGCCATGGAAACAGATAAAGTAGTTCAGACTAAATCAAGAAGATTTAAAAATACACCTAGAAAACATAATATGTCAATTGAAGATGTAGAAAGAATGTTGAATCAATCTGACAGTGAAGATGAATCCATGGATGCTGCAGGTACTGCTGCAAATAAAGAAAGTTCAAAAACTGCTAAAACAGAAATTAAAAAAGTTCCTCTTCAAGGAACTAAAAAATTTTTTAAATGTTCATCAACATCTCAAACAAAAACATTACCTGTAACAGAAGACAAAATTGTCCATAAACAGGTTAAAAGCAAAATTACAACGATTGAAACTCCTTTGGATGACAACGTTTCATTCAAGTCTAAAATTTCTAACTACAAATCATCAGATAAAACAGCTGAAAAACAATTACGTCCACGTGCAATTAAAAATTACTGTGAAATTTCTAAGCTTTTGGAAGAGGATGATTCAAATGATTCTGTCAAAGAAAATAATGAACCAGATAAAAAAAATAAAAATGAGACTGAAAAAGCGAATAAAGTTCAGGTTCCAATTTATAAAACACTACCAGCATCTCAACAAAAAATTGAGGACATAGATAAAATATACGAAATTCCAGAAGAATGGTTACATGAAGATCAAAATATTAAAAAACCTAAAAAGAAATCTGTTAAACGCTTGAAAAAAGCTTCCAGACCAAAACCAATTATACCTTGCAAAACGAAGGAAAATATTAATGGGCCTAAGCAGCATTTAATTTCACCACAAACAAATATAGTTAAAAGCAAGCCTTCAAAACAAAACGAGGTTGACAATAATAATCTGAAGGATAGTGATAAAGTTTCTCCTTCAAATAATAATGAACCTGTGATTTCTGAAGACTTTCAAGAAATGGGTGAAAGTACATTTGAAGAAGCTCCAACAATGAAAATTATTTCAGATCAAATTTTAAAAGGAAATGATAGAATTAAGCTTGCAACAACTCCTAACGCCCCTAAAACTATAAATTCAGAGTTAAAATTATTTGGTATGAAAAATGCTATCACTTCTAAACCCACTACGCAATATATGAACATGGTCAATCATTCTCTCATACAAAAGTCGATGTCACCAATTAAAAAAGTAATTGATAACTTTGATGTTGGAAGTCCTTGGAGAGTCACAGATACTTTTACCAGAATTCAAAAAGTAGTGCAAAGCACACCCCAAACTAACAAAAAAGTTGCAACACTGATAAGAAAACCTGTTGTCAAAATGTTGCCAGTACCAGAAAAATCAATTGGATCTCAAGAAACTATTCATCTTTCTTCTCTTCCAGATAAATCAGGAAATAATGGAAGTGCAACTCAAGTTTCTGCTCTTAATGAAGGAACAAGTCCTAAAAATGTCAATACTAACTTATCTAATGTTAGTCCTGTGAAATCAATTGATCAGTCCACGTCTCATCCAGAAAATATACCTTTTGAAACTAAAAATCCTCAGATAAATCAAAATAATTCTAAATCTCCAAGGAAATTTGGTACAGTATTGTGTAATGTCAGTCCTGTAAAATCTGTTAATCAAAGGAACCAACAATCGTCTCAAAATAATTCGAAGTCTCCAAGGAAGTTTGGAACTGTATTGCCAAATATAAGTCCCATGAAATCTATTACTTCAAGCTACCAACAATCATTTCAAAATAATTCAAAGTCTCCGAAAAAATTAGTAACAAATTTAAGTCCTACTAAAACTATTAATCAAGATTTGCAAGTATATCGAGTGCAATTAGAACCATCCAAACCTGTAACAGAGATTTTCAAGGATCATGAAGTACCAAATATTGATTTTGAAATAGGAGATGAAAATACTAGTCCAAATAAATCTCCTCGAAAATTACAAAAATCAGGTAAGCACAAACTTTTTCTTTCCTAAAAAAATAACTAAAATATTTTAAAAAAAAAGTGTACTAACTTGTTTTTTAATTTTCTAGTGATTGAAACTTTGAAGAGTGTGAGTCCTCAAAAATCTACAATGAAAAATTTCCTGGAACCGAAAAAATCATCCGAAATCCCAAACCCTAAATTATTAAGACAAACTACTTTGCACGGGTTTCTTAATTTAGAAGAAGTACCTGAAAGCACGCGCATTCTAACTCCTGACGGTATTTTTGCTGACGTTCATTCTACTCCAATCAATGGACGTAAACAAAAAAAAACTACAGAAGAACCTAATCTTGAAAATGCATTTGGTTTTGATGATGGAGATGATGAAGATGAAATCGAAGTTTGCCCAAGCATTAACGTTATGAAAAAGAAACTATTTACAAAAATGAAAGCTAAACCAAAAACATCACGAATATCATACAATACAGTAAAGCAAGCATTGCTAACTAACATTATGAACACAAAAAAATCTGAAGAAAAAATGCCTGAAATTTTTGAAAAAAATGATCAAAATGATAGCGACGATAGTGACAACAGTAGTGTTGCTAGTAAAGATTACAGTTTCAATGCAGAATTGAAAAAGAATGATTCAGAGAATCTAAAAGAATCGATTTTAACTTTCTCGGATACATTTGATCTTCACTCTGAGCAGGGAGATGACTCGTTAGTACCGGAAAAAGGACTTTTGTTCTTTAATTTGGAGCCGGTTCATTTTTCAACGGTAATAAAATTCAATTACGTTATTGATACCTAAAAAGAAACTTAATTGTAATTGTAACTCACTTATTACAGCCCGCAAGGCGTTCGTACGGAAAAAGAAAAAGACAAGTTTGTGTTAATACGACTACTGATTGCTCAGCTAGTGACACTGATGACCCAGAGGAAAAGCCAAAAAGGGCTAAAAAAAGACCGAAGAACAAACGATGCAAAGAAGAAGAAAAGAAAATGAAGGATTGGGTAAAAAAAATTAATTCTACATTTGACGAAATTGATCATTTTGATTTGGTGGTTGAATGACCGATGAAACAAATGCATTATAACAAAATGTACAGAACAACAAACGATGTGATCGATTTAAAATTTTACTATCTAATACAGACGTGTTGTGCAAATAATTTATGAATCAACTATTTTGATTGATATATGAATTTATTATTATTATTTTCCAAAATGACAATCAATCATATAGTTATCAAAAAAGTATTATAAGATGTTGATTTTAAGATCTCTTGGCATCATATTCAAGAGATTATTTTATTAATGAAATGCAGTTATATTTTACAATTTATAAATTGTAAAGAATCTCTTTTTAGATAATAGTTTCAAACTTATAATAATATAATTTAACGTTATTTTTAATTTAATTTCATTCAAAACTGATTCAATTTATATAAGAAGTAATTGTGAAAAATAACACAGAAATTTTAAGTAATATGACCTAACCAGATATTTTTACAATCAAATAAACATTGAGAATTCGAACGAAATCTCAGTAAACTAGGTCACTAAAACAATCACTTTCTCTATTATATTATTTAAAAATTGAAGCATAAAATTAAAAATTATAAAAAAAACATTTAAAAAATTAAATGTTTCATATCGGTTTTTAAAAAGATATATATATAGCTTGTTAAAAACAATTTAATCATTCCTATTTTTAAATCAACAAATGAATACAAGTTGCCTTCAAGAATTTGTACTACTTTTATGAAAATAAAAATATATTTAAATACTGTAAATAAATAATGAGCCAAGTCATTTCCAACCACAACAACGGTTTGCGGACCAAGAAGAAGAAAAGTTTGTACGCGTGTCAGGATCTTATCGCCACCGAAGTTTTGACCACACAAAGCAGCGAAAACTTACTCACTCACAAAGCTTGATAAGAACGAAATACGTACTCGTACGTAGCCGTAAAAGGGGCTGACTAATACACGTATTCTATATATGAATTAAATATAGCCGATAACGATTGCCAGTGCACAACTAGCCAATTAGAATCGAGAGGCTTTGTCGGTGATATTGGCTGAGTTTATTGCTCGAATTTCCTTAATAAATTTAATGCGCAGTACTTTTCTCGTTGGTTTTCTTGTTCTTTCGAATAATTGCCTTTACACATGTACTTAATAGCCGCCTCTTCGTTTGCCTTTGTTTCGTACGCGTGCGCGCAAAGGCAAAATGTTTGTTTTTAGAAACGTAAGCAATAAGAACAACGATGAAACCTTATAATTTTTCTGCTATCGCAATACAAAGGCAATTTTTCATACTTGCTCGGCAAGATTCATATTTCGCGTGTAAAAGTCCTTCCAACACGCTCATAAGAATTGAAATAGAATAAGTTAGTATTCAATTTTTGGTAAGCATTTTCATTCCTCTTTTCATTGATGCATTTTTTGAAACTATTAAACTTTGATCTTTCATTGAGATATAGCGCCGTTTCCATGGGCCTTTCCTCTTATATGTAATTTTCTCTTTTCGCATTGTCCGACGTTCCACGTATTTCCAGAATGCACCTAACTTGTCTTAATATTCCAAGTTATATGCAGTGTTTAAGTTACAAAATCAACGATTACAATTGCATCTTGGAACCGAATTTAACGAATTGGTCACCTTCAACGAATAATCGAAATGACTTTAAAAAACGTAAAATGTTAAAAAGTGTTTGCTTAAGAATTTGCACAGAACAATTTATATAGGTCCGATCACCTCATCAAGAGACATCTTTGAAAAATACAAAACTTGAGAAAAAACAAGAAAAAAAATTAACACGCAAAGTATATGAAAAGCCCCACAAATACGGTTGTATCTTAGTGAGAAATCAACATTTTGAAATTTTATAAAATCCAATGGAAAGAAGTAGAAAAATCCTTTCAGTTAAAATTGTTTCAATTACAAGACTTATATACACCTTAAACTTGAAGTCTCAATTGGTTGTTGGTAATATTGATACAAAGTGTGGCATGCCTTGTTCTTCGAACAGCTTGATACGTTAATCATCTTCGTTGAGGTTTTCATTGAGCATACAATCGAGCACGATCGCCATAACAATACGATATTTCTTGTGCGATACGTCGAGGACTTTGTCCGAGGATCGTCGCGTTTTCGGAAGTTCGACTTATAAACGCGCGAGTAGAACTTGATTTTTTGTTATTGCCGAGCTATCGCTCGCGCAGATCTAATAAACGTACTTGGCAACATACCCATGAAGCAAAAACGAAGTACCTCGCTTCCTTTAACGCTTTTGTGTTTCGGAGAGGGGCATTGTACACATTCGTGGAGCTTGAAATATATAGCCACACAATGATGCGTGCGCGGCATCTTCGGTTTCATGTATACGATTTAAAATGCGCGAATGTAACGAATGATTTTTTGACTCGACTCGACTTGTAGCGTCGATTCGGTAAAGCTCGAGATAAGAGCAGAAATGAGCGTGCGTATGTTATTTTGATTTGTTTTCTTACAATACGGTCATTAATGATAATTATTGTAAAGACTTGTATAAATGTCAAGTGGCGTAATGACGATCGTCGTCGCGATACCGATCTCCGATTTCACTCGAATCATCCCGCAAAGCGATCAGATAATGCACAGAATATCCGAAAACCCTTGCGTTCGAGACGACAGAAAAAAACCTCGTTGTATATTCCGAAAATCGTACATGTATCTTGAAACGTCGATAACTCGCTCTCTGTTTTTTTATCGTATCAAGGAGAATTTGGAGGATCGCGGCGAAAAATAATATCAGAGCTGCACGTGCGTCTACGTACGCGTATCGCTGTTTTTGTCAGGGCCGTGACGCGGAGACAAATCAGCGGCGGCGGCGGCGTCAAGAGGGATCGAGCAATTGTGCTCGGCTGTAATATCGCGCGTGCCTGTAATACGTTACGCGACCTCCCCGCGACTTGAAATTTATCGTCAATGCGAGGCTGCGGAATTCATTAGTCGATCGAACGTTCCGATGTGTCTAAGTAGTCGATCCAGTTACGCACTATTCTGTACGGACACCTTGTAATTGTGAGTGCGCTCCGGAGTACGAGAATACCGCATTGTCTGCGTGTGCATCTATATCAGACCACTCGCTGCTACTTCTCTCTGTCGAACGCATCCTTATAATAGCATCAACTTTTCGGAAAGTCAGTATAAGGGCAATCAGTTGCCGATCCGAGATTACGTTGAAAATCTCGAGTTTCCTCGCAAAACCCTTGAAAATCATGTTTGCCATGTTGAAAGAATCGACTAGATTATTATATAATATGTCGAAACGATTGTTTTGTTCTTCGTTATATTATATGTGTACTTAGATATAATGCCGCACGTGCGCCGACTGTCCCAGCGTCGTGTTTATCTCCATGTTATATACGCATTCGGAGTCATTTTTGCATTTACTGCTACATACCTAATACGCGGGGAGGTACATTAAAAAGTCACGTATGAATTTATTATAACGAGCTCGAAAGTGCGAATCGACGCGTGTGCGTTCCAACCCTCTCCCCCCGTTTTTTTTTTTTTTTTTTAATGTACGAGCCTCCCCAACCTGGTCGGGCAGCTGGTGGCGATGGCTTGCGTCAACCCTTTCTTCCTTTATGATCGGGTGTCATAATAGCGCTCGTTGTTTGTTTTGCACTCGACGTCTAACTGGCCTTTTATACGTTCGAGAGAGAGAGAGACTGAATCGCAACGAGGCGCAGCGCGTGTAGGGCCAATAAAACAGGTTGTTAATCTCTGAATCGGAGAAACGCCATTTGACATAGTCATTGGATGCAAAAAAAATGACTCTCCGTTAATGAAGCAGCTTTCGAAACGAATAAGTAGTTTCAAAAGGCACAAACAACGCTACTTTGGCGAGATCCCGTTCAAATTTTTGCCTCGTTCGCTCTCGTTTCTGGAGGAGACAGTCGCGCGGGGGAGGGCAGAAAAGGCCCCACTCGTGCACAGCGCGCGCACAGCTGCACGAAATATTTCATTGTCACGAGTTCTACAAGGCGCCTGGTAGGCTAATAATTTACGTGCAGGCAAAAGCGGCTGCGCGGCCCAAGCCAAACATTGGCCAGTGACAAGCGACCGAATACTTTACGTACATAGCTCCTATTAATGGTCGTAGATACTAGAGGAGGCCTTATATAACAGCGCAATCGGTCAAAAGTCGCGCGAGAGTTTACCTACACACGCGCGCAGGACAATGTACGCGCCGTTGTGTAAATAAGGCGCTCGCGACTCGCAGCTGGTCTCTGGCTTCGAAGAAAATGCAAGCGTGCAGGCTATAATAGGCATGCAGATTGTCTCTTCGAAGCTCTCGAGCTCCAGCTTGTGTGCGTGTACGGTTTGCATTATTTTGGCTTATGCAACGATCCTACTAGATACGCATTTAATTTATAAGTAAGCTCGAACTAGCTCCTGCGAATGCATCATAAAGTTTCTTTTTGGACCGTTGGACAATTCGTTGTAAGGACTCGATGCGTCGCGAAGATGCACTCATTCGCTCGGATGCGCAGTTTTTCATGAACACCAATTGGTTTTATCGATCGAGTCGAATGTTCATTCAGCTGTTGGATTCAAAATAACAGGCCAAATTGCTCGACTTTGACAGAGAAATTCAGCGAAAGATACGATCTCGAAAGGCGTCTCTCGATCTTCGATCGTTTCAAAGGTCGCGCACACTTTTGACTTTGTTGTATATTCTTTTCTTGGCTCGCGCGCAAAGTCAACGATATTCGCGCGGCAGCAGCAGCATCGGACGTATATATACACGAGACGATAAGATAAAAAGTCTCGAGCTCGAGTGATCGTCGCTGCATGTGCGTGGCGGTCGCGCGAGGAGCTTTCCCACGTCAAGACGACGTCGGTGTAATCTTTCCGACTTATCACCTCGTTTGCACTTGTTTCGCATCGACGCACGAGTACTACTGGACGCGCCTGCATCAATGATAATCGCGTCCGAGCGCGCCTGCGTTTACATAATGTGTGCATTTATTTATTGTGCTCCGCTGCCGAGGCGTAATAAAGCCGCGTGCGCACTTTCCGTAATACGCCATTTCGCACCTTGGGAAAGACATTCAATTATAAATCTCAGCTCGAGTCGCAATCGCACTTTTCTCTCGCTCTATGATATAAAGCGTTCCGAGTCCGCGACAAGCATGAAAAGCGGCAAAAATGCGTCGGCGAGTTTTTCCGAGCGTGTTTTTCTCGGCGCTCGCGAGACTGTTTATCCTTTTTCTCACGTATTTACGTGAGCCGGGAGCAGCGAGACACGGAGAAACAGAAGAGCCTCGCGGTTCTCGGTCAAGGATAATATAGCCTATACGTACACACGTTTCCTCGAGGGACTTTAAAAATAAATATAAGCTCTCTTGCTGCGAGCTGTGCAATTTCTAAGACGTGTTTCTTTGCTCTGCGACACGCACGCACGACCGAACGAACTAAAAACACAATAGAAAACAATATCGGACATTTGGTCATCGAATGCCTCGACGCGCACTTCAATACGATGCATTTTTCATTGAACATTTCGTCGGTCATATAAGCCTCATTTTCCCGATTAATTATTTGACTGAAAAATAAAAGTCGAATACGATTTATTAGATGCGCTTGGCCT